TGTATGTGGACACCTAACAAAAAAAAGTATCATGGAAATTAAAACTTGGTGCTCCCTCCCGCGTTCACTATTACTTCGAACATTCTGTCTGGCATGCTGTGGACAAGATTTGTGATAGTGTCTTCGTCGATTTCCTCCCATGCAGCCACTACCGCCTCCTTGAGGTCTCGCACGCTGTTGTACTGCCGATTGTTCATGTAAATTCGTCGAACCATAATTCCCCACAGGTTTTCGATTGGGTTGCAGTCAGGAGAACACGCCGGCCAATCCATCACTTTGATACCATTGCGTTGGAGCCATTTTCTAGTAGAATTTGAAACATGCACGGCGGCGTTGTCCTGCTGCAGCACATGTGTCCTGGGTCGTGGCCCACTCAGAAAAGGCAAGAGGTTGGATTCGAGCACTCCTTGATATTCCTGACTGTTCATACGGCACGATGGGAAGGCGAGCTCTAACTTTCCGCTGGTTCCAAAACCACCCCACACCATCAAAGAGCCGCCTCCGAAATTTCGCCTCGAGAACAGCAATGGATCGCGACGAAGGTCTCTCCAGTAGTGCCGATATCCATCTGGACCGTCGAGATCGGACTTTTTTTCATCGGTGAAGATAACCTAAGAAAGAAAAGCGCATGGGATGTTGCCTTTCTGATTTTACAAATTTCTCAAAAAGCTTCACCTTGTCCCACGACGTCGCCATGTTTGCACGCGCGAAGTTCAGTCTCGCCAGCTGGTGTTGGGCAGTCAGGCGAGGAGCTTTCTTCATGGTCTCTCGTGTGATATGCTCATTTGATCGAATATAGCGCCATATCGTCATTTTTGAGACCGGTAGATTAATTGCAGCATGGATCTGTCTCACAGAAAGGGGGGAGTTTGAGGCGACCCGCGCTATTCTTCTGATGTCTTTTACGGACAAAGATCGAGGACGCCCCGAAATATGTGCTGAATGGTAGCCATCAGGATTCTGGAGGTATTTACCAACGCACGTCGCCGAACGTCCGAGCTGTCTTGCAATTTCTCTATTTGAGTGTCCAGCAGCACTGAGAGCTCGAATCTGAGATTGTTCGTCTTCGGAGAGAGTACTGCCACGACGAGGCATGAGTACAGATTAATGGGGAGCAGAGACGATAGATATGGGTTGCAGATTTGGAGTCAAACTTTGAACTTTCTCAGGTGTCCACATACTTTTGTTATTAAGAAATTTTTTCAAAACAATAAATAATTGTACAGTAGTTCACAATGTATTCAGAAGTAGTGCATTCCTATACTTTCGCTTATGAGGAATCTATGGTCTCAGATCGCAAAATCCAAAGGCAACTTCGCAAAATCAAAATTTGAGGTGTCCACATACTTTTGTTACGCACTGTATAGTGGATGGTGACAACAGGCAATTCAGAACCGAAAATAGTCATGAATGTCTACGATGACGGGGTCTACATGAAGCCCGGTGCTCCAATCGACAGGTAACACGAATTAAAAAGCGTCGCGCCTGTCCCCACGAGCGCCGGAACGGCAAATAACAACCCTCTTGCCCGTCTCCCCTTTATCAGAGCGTCTCATCTTCAGTGATACACACTAATTTTTAACAATGGCATATTTCACCGGTGTCTCTTTGGTGTAATCGAGAACATGTTTTAGCAATTCGCAAGAAGTTTCCATGCTTGGAGTCGGTCGTATCAAATACGGACTGCATAAAATCGTGCACTCGCCATCACGACGCTGTCACGTCGCTCGTCACTAACTTCCGTCACTAGCCATGAATGGTGATTCAACTCGAGCAAGCAGTTACCTGCAGAAGCTGCGAGTGAGTACCATTATTGTTACAAAACTGCTGATTCCAAATAACATACGAAGATAACCTCGAGAGGCATATCAATACTAACGAATTGAACATACGAAGATAACGTTGGAGAAGATACATTTGAAGTACTAGATGGTTAAGAAGAAAAATTAAACCTGTTTCCCCTTACTTTCTTACCTGGTACTAGTTCAACTAAGGCAACTGTATTCTTCTTTTGAAAACGAGAACACTCGCTCAAATGCTTCATTGGTGAGCTTTCGCTGTACTAACAGCTTCCTCAGATCTTAAACAATCAAATCAGGCATACAGCACAGCACTACTTAACATGTTAGCTTATACAAAAGCACTAACCAGGACGAAACTTGTCCACAATAATCGATCAATCACTATAATACTATCGATGCTCGCCGTGTACTGTGACGAAATGCTATAATTATAGCTAATGAACGTCTTACCCAGATGGAACACCCTATGCAACTAAAAGACACTCGAGAAATGCGACGTGCGTGACATTTCTTAGGACTTCTTTATCGCCACCACTACGATATGAGTCTCATTGCTTCCACGAGCTCATCCCTGATGTTGATCTCCGGTGATAGCCCTTGATAGCGAGTGCTTCAAGCAACTTCCTTCCCAATGGCGATCTTTTCGTTGCGTGGTAAGACAACAACTTTTTAGACGAGGGCGGTTGCTTCTCGTGGTGTGGAGTGTGCGGTGCGTTAAAAGCACTTATGGTATGAAGGGGGGGGTTTCGCCAGGCTCGCAAGATGTGGTAACATTGGCTTGTGAAGGGCTGTGTTGTATAACGTATTTATTGACCGCATCCTTCGCATGGGCCAAATTAAAACGGTTCTTACGTAATTGGCAGATCTTGGTATCGGTGCAGTACGTACAGTTATTCCGGCCACATTTTTCTCCATAAATCCGCGATGACGTCAGCAGGCTCTTCAAATTAGTAGGTGGTCGGAAAATTAGCTTTGCTGGAAGATGAGACGACTTGACGATATAGTTCACCTTCTTTGCACTTCGTTCGTTGATGCAAGGCAACACTAGAGGTATTCCTCCATCAACAAAGAAGGGACGCCATGTTCTCGGGTGGTAACTCGTGTAGCCGTTCTCCTCCAAGATCTTGCTATTGACTAAGTTCGTTCCCGATTCTGTCGATCTATCTCCCTGACTCCACTGTGCAGATCCTTGACTTCGTTGTGATAAGGTTTCTTATCACATTCCCTTTCATGTACAGGGGATGTGCACTTCGGGAATGCAAAAGGATATTTTTCGACATTGGTTTCTTGTACCAAACAATTTCTTTCGCACCATGGTTTATCCTGATCTTTGCATTAAGGAACGGAATAAAGCCGCTTTCATCTGGATACTCCACCGTGAACTGGATGTTCGGATCACACGAGTTCAAATTCTGAAGCATTGTGTGCATCACATCGGTGGTAGCTCCAATCACAAACACATCATCTATGTACCGTCTGTAGAATATAATTCCTCAGTGATCTTCTTTCGATACGGTCCAGGTAGACGATGGCAAGCAGCGGGGATATCCTCAATCCCATGGCCAGACCTCTCTTCTGTGAAAAGAACATGCCATTGAACTGGAAGATGTTGCACTTCAAAGTGGCCGTTAAGAGCTCTCGCAGATCTTCCTCCATCAATCCGAATGTATGTACTTCTTGTTGATGTTGTCGTAGCAGTTCAGTCACAGAATTTACAGCCTCGTTGTTATCCACATTGGTGTACAATGAAACCGCGTCGAAACTTGCATATGCTGCTTCATCCGGTATTTCACATCGATCAAGAGCAGATATGAATTCTCTCACATTCACTAAGTGAGCAGCTATGTGACGAAGTAGTGGTGAGAGAATTTTCAACATCTACGCCTCACGGCAGTTTTTCTCTGAAAAACTGCCGTGAGGCGTAGATGAGGGGGAAGAGGTGGCTGGGGAGTGGGTGTACAGCGTGCTCGAAACAGGAAGAGCCGTTAAAAGCTAGCAACCGAAATTTCTCGAAGTCAAGTACAACACCCTCCCTCTAGCAAATACGACCCCTCTCGCTGGGTCCAACGTCCCATGTGGTTGGTTACAGGTTAATGTTCTTCTCCTCCCACACGAATCTGGTACCAATCTTCACCAGACGAATGTGTTGCAATTTACCATCGGGAGGATAGGAAGCATGGTCAACCCAGGCGGGAGACGATCCAGGATTTCTTCCCCGCACCGTAGCGTAGTAGGTGTGCCATTTTCTTATACACACCACCTTTGCCTCTATCGTCACTTAATAGGAAGAGAAAATCAGGGAGGGGAAGGTGGGACAGCTCCTTCAACGAAATTCATTCGTGTAGTTTACGGCATCCGAGGCGCGGCATCGCGCGCATCTACCATTCCTACCTGGTTGGCGAGATCCAGCACTTTGGCGTCAGATCTTTTCCAAAGTGATCCTAGAGGTTCGCTTCATGGCCCGATCTCAAAATTCTGGACCACTTAGCTAGAAAGACTATCTAGATGATTCGCATGCGATAGCACACCTTCGATCGTACCATACGGACTACACTTACGTGTGGTAGGTCGGGCCTCTCAGTGGAATTAAAGATACACAGATACGTTCACTGTCGGCGACCGTGGTCCTAGCCATGTGAGAGATTAGCGGGGTCCGCAGCTTATTATTAGACGTATGCCACTTTCTTTATTTGGAAGTATATCCGAAATGAGGCAGAAGGACAGTAATTGTCAAATGCCGTTCCGAACTCCAGACACAGGCAAAGCACACAGATGCAACGTTGGGTTGGTTTGACCTCGTCATGATCAAAACCATGCGTACTTCCGTCGTCCTCTCGATTTTCATATTTTATTCAGAAAAGGTGGGGTAGAAAGACTGAGAAATGGTCCTAGGACCGACCCACAATCTAACAGAAGAATGCTTTTATGTCCATTTTTTTTCTGGGCGAACTTTTTTCTCACATATGCCTTCTGCACACGTAATAAACTTATACTTACTTACTTATAGTTACTTAACAGCGCATGAATTGACTATTTAAGGGGATTGCATTTTATTACTGCAGTTGAGCTCTTTTCTCATGTGAACAAAGAATTCCAGGTACGTGACGTGCACGCTGCACTGCGATGTGCCAGCAATCGCACATCGCTGCGATTTCGACACGGCGAACCTCGTCATCGACCTTACTCGACGATCCTTTACCAGTATGGAGAAGTTGGCTCTAGACGCCAATGTCATCAGCAAGTCAGTAGAACCCTTTTGCACAAACGTCAGATTCATTACAGATCAAGCAATGTATTGCAGATGGCCAGCCGTTTGTGCCGACATTAAGACCTACCGACTTCCTTCACCAGCAAGTCCTCCGAAAGAAATCGATGTGGTAGCACAGAGTCACGGAATGTCTGAGGGTAGGTCAGCTTACACTATTCGCTACGAATACTGTGGTGTATCGGGAGAGGCGGGGGAGGGGAGGTGGGAGAGGGGGTTGGCGGAAAGCTCATCCCGTTCTTCACCTATTGCAGAAGCTGGCTAGTGATTACACTGAAGACACAGAATCATAGTGAAGAAGGGTTCGTGCCGCGCCCCCTCCTCCGTAAAACACCCCAGCATCTAAAGCGAACAAGACTGTACTTGTATTCCACCTACACCATTTTCTGACTGAATAAATCATTATTTAGATGCCACTAACATAACATCACCATCGACGGCAGCCGTATCGAAAGAGACGACTTCATCTGTAATTCCTGCACTGCTTTTACTCCTCTTCTCCTTGGCTTTACTATAGAACTTAAGATTCCCAACAGATGGCTGGTACAGTCTGAACTTGTACGCGTGTTTGTATAATTGTTTCTTTTTATTGCAACGGGTACTCTTTCAACATGTAATAAAACATTCAAATAACCATTTTGACACAGAGAAACAACATCGCGAACATGCCTCAACAACGTTGAATATTAAGGCAGTGGTCGAAAATCGATGCCAGTAACCAACAATCACCGCACAGGCAAAGTGCGGCTAATTGGGAGAGAAACAGAAAAGTGGCTTAGCCAAAGCTGGAGAGTGGGCCGGACGTTCGCGGCCTAACGTCAGCGCAATAGCTTGAAACACCCCCCCCCCCCACCCAGATATTAGCCTCTTCTTATTTGACCGACGTTGCAGCGTTATCGCTCAAATCGTTTTTTGGAGTCTGGAAAGTCGAAAGACATCTAGGAAACCACTGGCCAAACGCCATTTCAGCCTACAGGGGAAATTTAGAAGGGGCTCAAGCTCCTACGCCGTCGTTTCACAATCAGTAGTTTTCGTATTTTTTGAATTTATCCTGTAAGCTGAGCTGGTGTTTGGACGAATGATTTCCCGAATGTCTTCAGACATTGCAGGCTTTAAAGAAGGCAACGCTGAGACGTCAGCCATATGAAAAGAGGTCAGCGATACTGAGTCGAAGCTGAACAGCTTCGAAGACTTCCAGATTCCGTCTCATTGAGCTAAGGGAAAGGATGATTCCGCCAATACAACGGAGGAAAATACCCATCAAAGGAAAGGTGTGACGCATTTTGTAGACAGCCTACTACTCAGCCCCTTTAAACGATAGCCCATGGAGAACGCGCAGAATTTTCGAAGAAGCGCCCTGTTCAGTCTTCGTTGTCTCTTCGTTAGACAGAGTCTCTCGTGTAGCGAGTTTATCGGGGCTCAACTGCGATCAGCTCTGCCAAGACCATGGTGCCTCCTTTCACAGAAGAGCTTTCGAATAATGAAATGAGTCACCTACAAGAAGGAATTCCTCTTCCGAAAGAACGAGAACGCAACGACAAACTGAGTCATGTCAAAATAACAACAGAATAAGATGTAGCCCTGAAGTCACACTGGTCTATCACAGGAAAAATTCAGACTAAAAACAGTAGAAATTGCGGTCATTGCAAGAATGATAGATATAAAATCAAGAAGGCACGAGAGACATTTCTCCTAGGAATTCTAACTAATTATGGTGAAAGTAACATAGACCCGTTTTACTCCAGATCAAGGGCCTTAGCTTTGAGAACTGCCGGTGCTGAGCTTGGTGGCAATACTCGAATATCCGTCACAATTGCTGTGATAAGATCAGACGGCACAAGTTCCATTGATTCCTGCTTCAACAGTGCTACCCGACCGCCTCCTTGCACCTGTAGAATTGCAAGTGACACCCAGTACAACCCCTTTATTCAAATTCACAGAAAGAACTTACCTTGTCCACAAATTTAAATGACTGAGAAAGAATCAGCACCGGGACATTAAACGCTTTAGCAGTAAGTGCAACAAGCATGCTGCCTTTCGGTGCAACGACGCAACCGTTCGATAGCACTGCAGCACAACCAAGAAGAACCATTGAACCCTAAAACGAAGGAAGAACGGATAGGAACTTCCAACAACTTGACATCAATTTTTTGAGTCACGGAAATACAACACCACAATTAGCTGTCTTTTGCCAAATGAAATTCCCTCCAAAATTGGTACCGTCATTGCACCTCTCTTGCTCCCGTAACAACATAACTCTTTACTCTTGAAAATCAGCCGCAAGACAGCGTACTGAGCACTTTCGGGGATACCATTTCCCTGAAGCTTTTTGATTTTTAAAACGACATACAACAATTCTACAGAATTGTTCACTGCTGGACTGGGGTTGTTTGAGGGCGGGTCCGTTCTCCACCAATATTTATCACCTGCCCTCTTCGGCAGTTAAGGGATGAACGAGCTATGCTGTGCCAAACACAGCCCTCCTGACATGCCCTAGCGTCGGCAGCGAAAAACTGTATTACATAGTTCTCAGTTCTCAACTGCATAGTAACACAGAACCAATAAACTTCCTATTTCGGTGCAATTTTCTCTGAGGGGGAGGGGACACATGTGAACTCCCGTCGATATATTAAGCAATGATTCAAATAATTTTATCTTGTGAAATAATACTAGTTTCACTGTGTACGTTCATGTAACTGGGGCAGCTGGTCGTAACTGAGAC